CAACATTTATAAATATAACATCACACCTATTATTCTAATTCTATTCCCCGAAAGGTTAGACAGAGTTACGCGTAGTCCAAATTATAAGCCCTATGTAGTATACGTAAGAGTGCGTGAGTTCGTGCCAATAACATGGCAGGGTCGCCGTCTGGGACCCTTAGGCACACAGTAATTCGTCGCGGAGAACCTAACGGGTAACCGGGGCTCCGGCTCGACGTGCAGGAGAAGGAACGGGGTGGTTTTTAGTCAGTAAGAGTCTGACACTCCCTCCCGACTCACCCAGGCGGAGGCAGTCATTCGATGATTTTCCCCCCTTAAAAAAAAAAGGCACACAGTAATTCGGGGCTCATTTGGAAGGTTTTTCTTTAACGTTGCCCCTGAATCACACTATATTTTCCCCTGTATCGTGGTGGATGCGTTTACAAACATACAAGTTCACATGCAAATGACACCCAGACCCGAAACAACATTTTGCGGAGGACACAAAGATTTGCTCCGTGCGGGCATCGAACCCGCTAAATATTGTGCGGCAACCGGTTGCCGCGCAACGTGTAGTGGGAATGTGTCCGTCGTCGTAGAAATTGTTGGTCCTTTGGGGCCTCCTGAGAGTGGGGGCCATGGGCACGAGCGTCGAGTGGTAAAGACGGTACTGAACATAGCTACGGCATATAGGTACACACGCACGTACACGTGCGTGAAAGTTACAAAGAAGCGCAAGGAGTTACTGTGGCTCCAGCTCGAAGTAGGAACACAATGGTGTTTTTTGTCAGTAACAGTCTGACACTCCCTCTCGCAGTCTCGCCTCACCCTGGGTGCTAGGTGTCGATGATTTCCTAGTCAAAAAATATTAACTTAGCTACTACTTATACGTAGTCCTCACGTTGACCTCCGGCCTCCCTGTATGTTATATTCTTTATTGCATTAAATTATTATGTTACGATTGTTGTCACAAATTAATATTTACTATTCCATTAAGTGTTGCGTTGTACCTAAAACATCCCTAATGCCTTGTTCGCACTATGCTAGTATTTCAGTCAAGCATCGAGTATTTAGTAACTCTCTCTCTCTCGCGCTTCGATTTTGGAACAGAAGCGAAAGGGATATAGTAAACAATCGTTGCTCGACTAAAATACTAGCATAGTGCGAAAAAGGCATTACTCTCACAAGGCCGGCGAGGCACTTGTTACTTCCCTGGTGTTGCGGGTGTCTATGGGCGACGTAGATTGCTTACCATACGATCTTTGTTTGCCGGATAATAAGATTTATTTCCAGTGTCAATTATCAACATCATCAACAGCCTGTTCTCGTCCACAGCTGGACATAAGCCTCTGCAATAGCACGCCACTGAGTTCGACGCATCCAATCATTAGGTATACCATACCAGCCACTTTGCGGATATATCGTCACTCCACCTAGCTGGAGAGCGCCCTACACTACGTTTGCTTAGACGCGGTCTCCAATTCGGTAGACGCGGTCGGCGGTCTGATTGGCTGGCTCCACTGAACCAACCAATCAGAGTGCCGAACCTCGTTTCGAATACTTTACACGTAAACCAGACTCATACTAAGGCCTCAGAACAGAACACGTCTACCCTAACGGTCATCGGTTTGTCGACAAATGTGACCAATCGGATTTGGGTTACGTCGGTAACTTTAGTTCCCTATCGGATCACCTCGTTACGGATCCTATCCTTCAGAGAGACTCTGATTTTAGCCCTCTCCATAGCTCGTAGCACAAACCTACTTATTACTGTATGCGCTAGCTAGTACTTACCTATATAATAATAAAGGGCGTCGTTATATTGCGATCTCACTCACTCTAAAGTAATCAATAATATTGAAACTGCGCTGCAGATTCGCTCGTATAGGTACCTATGTACCTACATTATTTGTATTGATGCAAATCCTCGATATACAAATATGATCTCTTTTGCACAGGGAATAAAGTTTATTCAGTATGCTTGTGAAGGATGTATCTATACTTTAATAGTATGTGTGAACTTGTATATCATCGAATTTTGATGTTTGTGAAGTGTTTGCCTCAAGTATATAATTATGGTAATGATTATGTAACATTTTGGGGGATTAGTGTTAACGAGAATAAATTAGAAAACAAACACCAATTTCAGGAGAAAATTATATTTCGAAGAAACATATTTCAATTCTACATCAGCAACTTAAACATACATTTATAATGACTAGAAATACTACAGAATCAATAAATAAACTTAAAATCTAAAAACTGTGGGAATGTCATAATACTGAGATACATAAAAATCGATTTCAAACCTTCCAGTCTATCTCTACTCCCTGTACAAAGTTGTTATCACTTACCAGTTAAATTCAACCTCCTTCGTAAAATTCAGATGTTATAAACCTCCTTGGTACCATAGAGGTACAAGGATGAATTTCCATAGACAAAAATTCATAACAATAACTCCTGCTCAGCTGCCATACCGATGGTATACCTAACAAGTGCACCCATCACAATCCAAATACATATAATATGTATATATATATATATATATGTTATATAAAAAGCAGATCTTACTAACACTACTACTGAAGATTACTGCTCCAAAAAGATTAGATAGTTAAATATTGACATTACATTTTGGTAAAATAATATTGGTGGGTAATGTCATGATGATCAGAAATTGATCTAACTGTCAATCTGCATGTGGTACAGATCCTTAGTATCAATCTCTGAAACAAAAAAAAAATTATTAACATACAGCATGTAAGAGGCACTGCTGGACTATGGGCGTTCTCTACATAATTATGAGGGTGTTGCCGTAATCTCCACACCAGACAGGCATTGGATAATGTTTATCAAAGAAACTCATAATGTTTTGATGTATATATGAAATTTTATGTTCATAAACACACCCACAACATAGGAGAAAATCCTAAAGATGGCAAATTTTGTTTTAAATGGTTAAGGGTTAGGCTTACCTGGCTCCTCAATGCCATTCTTCTTGTCAATGGCCTTCTGCAGGGTGGCGATGCAGGAGGCCAAGTTGTTGACTCCCATCATGAGGTCCCATGCCTGCACGAAGTTGTTGTCCGACTCTATAAAACAAACATGTCTACTGTAGACCAGCTAATTCTCTATGGTCCCACCTACTGCTCTACTCCTATTGGTTGTAGCAGGATGTTTTAGCTGAGAGACCAGAGTTGAAGTTGCAGAAAACCAGTCAATTGGTTACTAATAAATTTGGTCCTTATAAGTATATAAGGACCAAATTCAGATTTCCTTAGAGGACTTTGTAATAAGTGAGTATCCTAAGCTCCTAGGTGCCTCTTACGAATAAAAAATCAAACACTAAATCCCAAAAAGCAAAATGAAAAAACAAATGGTTGTTTTTTTTATATTAAAATTAAAAAGGAACACATTAAATGAAATGTAAATGTATTATTTACTTACTGTCATGAATGAGATATTCGTAGTAGTTGCTCGACAAAGCGGGCGTCAACTTAGCCATTTTATAGGGCCCAGTATATTTGGGCTCCTTGTCCTTAACAGTCATTATGATAGCAATCTTGCCGGTTTTATGGAAACGGTTTAAATGAGAAAATCTCGGATATCAATCCGAAGCGCAAAAATCGCAATTTTGCAAACAACAGACCCGATATCAATACAGCAGAAAATTGACAGTATGTATGGTGTTGACAGTGCTGCCAGCAGCACTTTGTAGTTTTGTAACACAGTAAAGTTTGTATTGATTTTCGCGTTTCGTTTTACTTACTTGGATGGATACGGTGATTTCACCATACTCAGCAAGTTCCATATCAAAATTAACTAAAATCGCGGGTTACTCACGTGAATTTTTATTCATTCATGATTAGTTATTTACGTGAATGTGAAAGTAGTGAATAGTTATTCTCGTGAGTAACTCGCGATTTTAGTTAATTTAGTATGTCTCACGACAGTTATTATAAAAAAAAAGTTCCATTATCCATTTCCTATTGATCAATCATTTTGACTAGACCAGAAGCTTTAAACTGTCAAACATCAAGCGGTCACCGGTGACCGCAACCTATTGTTCTATAATTGTGTCTACAAAACCGGTACTCGACGAGTTAACTTGACAAAAAGTTAGAAACAAAACTAACTTTTTGTCGGTTGGCAACATTCATAGTAATCATAACAGTACAGCTGGTCTAGCCATAATCTAGCTTTACTATACTATTACTAGTTACAGCCTTTTAAATGTTACCATTCATTACCAAAACATTTTGTAATAGCCCCTAATCAAGATAAAAATATTTTACCACACATCACGGTTGTTTTATTTTTAATATTTTTTCAGACATGAAGACTGAAACCACGGTAACTCATACCGTTTCGTGTGGTAATAAAACTGAAAATATGAAACCTATATTTATTAATTTACGCTAATAGTTAAGCAGCAAAAGTCTTAAATAGTTATATATTACGTAACCCCTATAATAGGTACACACGGCCACACATCAATCTATCAAAACCAGTTTGGCAGTTTATCCTGGTGTCGCGTCGCATTATCTTTCCGCACATTTAACGTTTAGTTATACTTAGTATGTAATGTAGCTCGATGTGTAGCCGTGTATACATTTAAGTGAGATATTGTAACTATTTTCTATCGAGTATTTTTGATACTGGCAGACGAGAGGTTAATCCACTAGAACTTTGAACTTACCTACGTTCTTTTGTAGGTAGTAAGTACAAGTACGACCGTCGCTGGCAAAAGAACTTACGTCATAAACAAGACAAACGGTACAGCTGGCAGAAAAACTAGTAGTCTCAGAAGTTACTAAAGATCGTACCATTCGTACCTGCTGTGACTGTAGACAATATATTAATGCAAAATGTATGTTAAATAATAAATAATTGATCAGTCATACTTTCAAGCTTACGAAGATAATATTTGTTGTAATACTTTCACGCTATGATGTGTACGCAATTTGCCTTGCTTATGGTAGTAGCTTATATAAATAAATAGGAAGAAATAAAACAAACAATTGCATTTTATGCTATTCAGTTTTTAATAACGCTGTATTTGTCATAATTATTATGCCCTTACTTTCATAAGCTATAAATCATCAGCATATTTCCTAAGGTCTTCGGTAAAAATCGATCTTATTGAAAAATACAGGGATCATGAGTTTGATAAAAAGTAGCTTACCCCCATCTGTCTCCTGTTATCGCCTCTCTTTTATGTATACTGGTTTATAAGGATCATTTCTGTTGTTCAGGAGACAATCTAACTGTAGATTCTTAGGTAGCCTTAAATGTCGAAGGTGATCTTCTAAGCTAGTCGCGAACTGATAACTTCGTAAAAGTGATGTAGCCCTGAGTACCTCATTTATTGATGACATATCCTTTTTTTTAGTATGTGTTTGGGGCGTTTGCGTTTCTTTAGTACAAAATAGTTTTGAAGTTTGAGCTTTCAATTTAGCACTTGATTGTTTAGAGAAAGTTTCAATTGCACTAAAAATCATATCTAAAATTAGTAATTCTTTTGTAGTTAAACTGTCCATATCTATCTTTTCAATAGCAACTGCATACGGGAAATGTGACGTGTTAATAATAAAATGCACGAATTTGTCCCATTTGTGTTCGTTAGTTGGTCGTTTTTTCATAATTAAATTTAAAATTTCTTCAAGAGGTGCTTCTTTTTTGTGTTGTAACATATATTGAAATGCAGTTAGAGAAATTGAAAACGTAACTAGGCAAATGTCGTTATTTTTCTTTGGATTTGTTTCATGTTTGGAATTGCTCGAATTGATGAAATCGGGTATGTTCACGTTGGCGTTATTGGTTGTGTTCACATTGACAATGTCGGGTCTGATCACATTGACGGTGTTGGGTTGGGTCACATTGACGATGTTAGGTCTGGTCATATTAGCGAAGTTGGGTCTGGTTACATTAGCGATGTTGGGTCTGGTTACATTAGCGATGTTGGGTCTGGTCACATTGGCGATGTTGGGTCTGGTCACATTGGCGATGTTGGGTCTGGTCACATTGGCGATGATGGGTCTGGTCACATTGGCGATGTTGGGTCTGGTTACATTGGCGATGCTGGGTCTAGTCACATTGGCGATGTTGGGTCTGGTCACACTGGCGATATTGGGTCTAGTCACATTGGCGATGTTGGGTCTGGTTACATTGGCGATGCTGGGTCTAGTCACATTGGCGATGTTGGGTCTGGTCACACTGGCGATATTGGGTCTAGTCACATTGGCGATGTTGGGTCTGGTCACACTGGCGATGTTGGGTACAGTCACATTGGTGATGTTGGGTCTGTTTACATTGTTTATGTTGAGTCTGCTCTCATTCACGAGATTAGGTCTGCTTACATCGACGGGATTGGAAATTCTTGCATCAATAGGATTAGGCTTGCTTGCACCGACGGGTTCTGGTCTACTTCTATCGACGGAACTAGATCTATAGGCGGAGATGGGTTTGGTCCCGCGTGTGTTGAGAGGTTTGGTCTGATTGTTTAAAAATTTAACATCCTTGTACTTGGTAAAATGATTGGTATGTCTAACAGGTATATCAAAATACGACACTTTAGTCATTTGAGTTTTTTTAGGTTTACAACAGCACTTACAGTTCATAATGGAACAAAGATGGGGTCGTCTCATGAAATTGATTATACCCTTAAAACCACCATCTGCTAAGAAACGAGCAGACAATTCTTCCTGTTTATACCAACAACATAAGTTTTTCAATAAGTTTGTTGGTAGTTGGTTTTTAGAATTTATATTAATGTTTTCTGAATTACATGATAATTCGTGTTTAATGTTACAATTGATATTTGATGTTCCTAAACTTTTATTATCGTTTTTAAAAGATTTTGCTATAGGTGTATTCATTAAATCTGTTCTTTCTGTCATTTTGTTGTACCAATCGCGGGGTTTTTCTGACCGGTTTATTTTGTTCTTTATATAGTTTTCATTTGATAAAACTAATTTAGTAGAACAGCAACAAAGGCAATTATTAATGGAGCACTTGTGTGTTTTTCTCATAAAGTTTAGAGCATCTTGACTTCTTGGAGTTTTGAGGCCTTGACTGTGTCGATATCCATCTAACCAGTTTTTTCTTGCATACCAGCAACAAAAATACCTTGTCAAAATATTTTCATGTGATCTCGCTAATTCTTTAAGTCCACTTTTAAAAGATTGTATGTTTTGAAGCCTGACATATTCCTTCAAGGACAAGAAACTATCCAGAAAATAAACATCAATTTCGTTATTTTGCAGATCATATAGGATGTTAATTTTATGCCGGGTATTCATTCTGAAAAATGGTATAAGTGTTAGATATTTTGTGTTTTCTATGATATCCTTATTTGAGTTCATTTTTAATTTTTCAACCACAGCTGTTACAGGTTTACATAACCGTAGAAGATTTTTATTATGTCGATTTACACGAGCTTTTTTATTCACAAAATTTATACGTAATGATAAATCTTCATATGCTGAGAGTCGTTCATTGGCATCCATTGAATTACTTCTTAGCCGTTTTCTGTTTATATTGGGTTTACTCTCTTTGATTATGGCTTCAAATACCGTATCAGTATCCTTGGTGCTTCTAACTTTACTAAAAATATTCATTTCATCCAATCTTGTCGTATACACAATCGAGTGTAAGATTTTGAACTTCTCTTCATCATCGACCTTTACTGCTGCCTATAACAAATAAGGAACAATAAGTATATCTTCTTTTGATTCCGATTATAGTTTGACCAAAACTACAAAACCAAAACAAACTATACTAACTACTAACTGAAAGTTTCTGTCAGAAACTATATTCATAACTAGTTGAATAAGAGCCAAATTCGCCACTTCTATATAAAGAACCTAAATTCTGAATATAAAGAACTTTTGTATAAAGAACCATGGATAAAGCCTATAATGTAAATAGACCACAGTGGCATTTTTTTTTAATTTACACCTCTGTATATAACATACGATGTCGGACTTATTGCCCCGGGTGGCATTCTCTTACAGTCAACCATGGGGTGATGCAGAGATGCAACAGCAGGTGTAATAGGTATTATATTTCATTTTATGGGACACAGAATAAATCTATATAAATGAATTCATAATTATGCATAACTGTAAATATATACATACATCCGTATAGGTATAATATAAATTATAAAAGATCCATTAAATAGTATAGATGATCAATATTACTAAATAACAATACTGTCGTAGCTCTGTCGGGTTATTTCAAATTAAAACAGAAGACTGCACAATTAATAGGTTTAATTTCTACATATCAGAATCAAGACCGGCTCGCACCGATACAAAGAAATGCCCGAATGCTATGGCTGGCGTGTGTCGATGAAGAAGCGCGGCGCTCGCGCGGCCGTGGGTTTTTATACCCCCGTCCCGCGCGTCGCCGCCTCTATGGTCGATGGCCATACTAATGCGCCGACAATACTATAATAGTAAATAAATAAATTGGGGATATACTACATATACATATATATTAAATACAATTGCCAAAATTATAAATTAAGTACGTGATGCGTCTTGTTCCCTTCGCAGTAGTTCACGAACCTTAACGGTTAAAAACGAATCGAATGCAGTTATTTAGAAGGCGGTCAAGTTTATTGAGATCTGCATTCAGGTCGTAGTAACACACATCAGCGTAATCAATTATGGGGAAAACCAAGGACTGAACAAGCATCGCCGTGGTCGAAGACGAAAGGAAGGTTTTTAACCGATAAAGGGCTCACAACGTCCCCGTGACTTGCTGACAGACACTAGTAACTCATGTTAGAGATAGAATTTTAACACTTTTTGTATGGAACTTATGTCAAAATTCTATCCCTAGTAAGCAAATCTACAGATAGATAGGTTATAGAAGCTGGACGTTAGTCGGTAAGAGTCCGACATAATCTGCTGTCTGACGCTCATTGTCTAGTCTAGGCGAAGATATCCATGAGGATGTCCACACGATAAAAAAAAGTTAATTCACATTTACTACTAGTAAAATAATACGCTAGTATCAATATTACTCTAGTCGCGTTGTAAGGGTTGCCATGTGATGTGAACAACTGTGGCGCCCTCGTTTATTTAATGATAAAATAGACAAACTGCACAAGTAATAGGTATATAATAGGTAAATCCCAAATAATTCTAAGGGGTTTATTTACTAACGCAAAACTTATCAACTGTGACAATATCTTGAGTTGCTTTACTATGTATATAGGAACTCGATTACATTTCGGAAAGGCAGGGTGACGCTTGGTATTTGAACTTGAGTGTCGTCACTCGTCAGTAGTGATGAAACTTGAATCGAATGATCTAACTAAGCGATAGTCTACCTTACAAAATATATAAAAATAATTTTAATTTTTTGCACACTGTACGGTGGTGACAGCGGCCATAGTCTTTTTAGCCTTTGTGATTTTCAATCATATTTGAACTCTATGTATCAACGCCTACGTGCTAAAATGCCACGTGCTTTCGCCCACTATCACTAGATCATTGCGCGGCGCACCGCCGAGTAATGGAACGCATGAAAAACAATAAAATAGGTTATATAGTACCTAAACCACGACTACGTACCATTTCATCCATTGTTTGTCTTTTGCTAGCACTATTAATCTATAAATCACTACAATTTGTTATCACACAATGATAATTATCATCATTTTACGAGAAAGAAACGAAATAACAACAACGATGCGAATGATACGTTCCGACAGAGTGCCAGTTAGTGTACTACGTGGTGGCGCATATCGCGGCGCGGGGGGAACGGCCGCCGCCGAGTGCCGACCGGCGTTCGTCAGGTCACGCGGGTAGCGGGGAGGTGCCCCCTTCCCGCACAATGTTACGCGCAGACGTTTCAAGTTGGTCGCGTTATTTCCTATCCTATTGATTGTTTACTACCACCTGCTACGCTTAGTAGCTATTGGTACCTACTTATGTTGTATTTGACTATACAATGCGCGCACGCGCAAGATGTCAACTCGTCATGAGATACTCGAACATTAATGTATTAAATAAACTATTATGTTTTCTGTTTGCTCACGTAATTATTTGACGAGGAACTCCACTCGACTCGAGTTTATTTAGTATGTCTCACGAAAGTTTTAATACCTATGTACAAACATTAATGTACCTATTGTAGGTATATTACACATTATCGACTGTGACAGAAGAAGGTTATGCATTTGTTATTGTTTGTAAATAAAAAAATTATCATAAATAATTTGCGTATTAAGTAAGTGGGTACCTACGGTACTTAATTACAGCTGTAACTATCGAAGTTCTTAGTGGTCTACCTAAAACATAAAAAACATCTAAATTGATTTAATTCCTATGTCTGAATACTATTTACTAGGTACATACCTACTAGTACCGACCTAACTACCTACCTACACCTACATATTCATATTAGATTAGCTATCTAGGTACCTACCTACCCTATTTCCAACAGCCTATTGCCACAGGCAGAATACATACAGGGTGGTCAGGGTGTGAATGCAATGCTTCCGAAAACGCAAACAAACTTTTTATCAATTTACTTAATTCGTTTTTGTTTTCGTGTTATAGAGTTGATTACAACTATTATTACATAAAAGAAACATTTAATTCCTTTCGTTCTTTGAAATTTAAACTCGTTTTTTACCATCTTCGTTTTTTTTGGAAGCGATCCGTTTACACACTTTATAAGGCACAATGTTAATAGGTACCTATATTATAAGTCAATAGGTGCCTACTACCTATCTACCTAATTTAGGTGCATAGCTTTGTAATTCTATTTCACAGGTTTCCCGAGAGCTAAGATTACATAAAACACGGGCAAAGTCGCGGCAACGCGTTAGTATCTTTCTAGATAGATTTTGTATTGAATTTTTATTAAATGCCTACAAGAATGAATCACTGAAAAAAAGATAAAAAAAATATAAGGAAACCAGACAAAACAAGTAATTTTCATAGAGTTCAAGATAATGCGAAATAATTCGACCGCCGACAGCCATCTTGGCGTTACCATAGCAACCGGGCTTATTTATTTCCGTGAAGATGTGATACAGTTCCGAAGTTTTTATACACAGAATTTTGTAAAGAAATAACAAGGCAAACGGTTTATTTATTGATTTTGAATTAATTTTATTCGTGATTGTATTAGTATTATTAATAGTAATGTGTTTGAATTTAGAAATTTGCAGTAACTATCGATGAAATAAATTGTTTTCTTTAGTTACAAAAACAATTGCAATCGCAATATTCGTTGATTATTTTTTTTATTAAATTAACTGTTTTTAAGTACCTAATTAGATTTGTACTATTTTGACGTGACATAAATTATAAGTACTTATATAAAATGTACCTACTAACGATTAGAGATGTACCGCGATCTAGACTGGGGTCAATTTATTAAATGATGTGGTTGGCTATCTACGTAAACGTAATGAAGTGACTTGTAAAGTAGTGACGCATTTAAATTAAGTACCTGTGGATAGTTTGAAAAAAAAAATCAATAATATGGTGTAATAATAACACATTAAATATGGGTCACTCAAGAACAGTTCGTGCTGACAATATGTATAATTTTCAAGATGTGAAGAAATTGAGTAGGATATCATTTTTGTGTCATGTAAGTATCTCTACTAATATATTACCGTGGGTATTATGAATAAAGTCATGACTCAAAGCAGTAGCCAATGGAGTCCTAGAAGTCCTATGGTACTCATGTTTTTAGAAACGTTGTCCCACTCTAGGATTTTCTCCTGTGTCGTGGGTGGGTGTACAAACATACTAGTTCACTTACACATGACCCAGAACCAGAATAACAATATGTGGATCACACACAGAGTTTTCGGTGCGGGAATCGAAGCCGCGACACGTTGCGCGGCAGCCAGTTGCCCAGCCACCGCACCAACCATCAATTATTAGAATGGAACACCCAAATTTTACAATTTTTTTTAACTCGACATTACACTGACATAATAGCCAGGGTATGAAAGTTAAAAATATAATTAGTCCGTAAGTTAGGTAATGAAAAATTTTAGACACGTATTTTGTCGTATAATAAAACAATACTTAGATAAAACGAATCAAAGTTTAGGAGTGGGGGCTAAAACGTCATTTCTACGTAGAAAATGTACATAGAAGTGACGTCACGCGACATTTCATATCAATATATCGTCGAAAGTATTCGTTTCTGTAAGAAAATAAAAAATACATATCTAATGATTTAAAATAGTCTACCAGACGGACATTAACATAAAAATTATTAATTATGCATCTACCCTATTAAAACCACAATATGGGTAACACTACTCAATCAATTTTAATAAACAATCCATTCCAATTATTCTATCTTATAAACCCTTTTTTACTAATTTTATTTGTAGGAATTCTAGGTACAAAAATATCAATTAGATAGGTAAGTGTATACATAGAACATAACATAACATTACTTCACGCCTTTTATCCCTGATGGGGTAGACAGAGGTGCACATTGCGACACTTAAAGGTATGATTCCACCAAAATAGTGTGTAGCACATTTGTTTACAAACATTTTGTGCTAAACTCCAGCTGTGCAGGTTCGAAGCTGGTATCGCATTTGGCTTCCATCTCCACTATAAGGCTGTGCGTAACGTTTGTAAGCGCACAGTTCAGCACATTTGTGCGTGAACACTGAACATGTTCACTGAGAATTTCTGCCGAAGACAGTTCAGTAGTTAATATGGACGGACGGAAGACAACCTCAGTCGAGTCACAATTGATACTTTGCGCCAACTCTTGAGTGGCGTCATGTTTTTTGTTTTTATTTTTATAATCACTGACTTGAATCCCACAGTACAGGATAGGTTTCAATAGCTTGAATAAATTTTATAGTTTTATCATTCGTCCAATCCATATTTAACTTGGTTAATAATTATAATTTAATTAACAATGTACGCGCACAAATAAATGTTTTCTCTTCGATAGTGGAAGCAAGACTGAGTTCGCGAACAACAAGTTTGTACGCGTCGACGCGAGTCCACTGCCTGCATGTGTGCGCGCATAAAAGTATATAAGATGTGCGCGAACATTCCGAGAATTTTTGCGCACAATTTGTTATTGTTTGCTTTAGTGAGTCGACCAGAATAAACATTTGTGTCGCACAATGTGCATTGCTGTGCCGCACAGTTCAGCACACTGGTGGAATCGCATCTTAATACTACTGTACAATGTCA